TATTTCTTATTTTTCTTTTAATGCTACGAATTCCATACATTTAATTTTACAATCTTTTAACAACAATGTACATTATAGTTCCTTAATTTTTAAATATTTATCTATTATGTACACTCGTTATGTATTTTTTTTATAACGTTTATCGCTTTATAGACATTTTTAAAAAGTATTTAAACAACATGGAATTAATATGAACAGCTGATAATAGCTTAAGGGGACATAGATACAATATAAAATAAGATACAAAGAAGAAGAATGATTAATGAAAGGTAATGATTTTCAGAAACGTTCATAATCTTCTGCAAACTATAAGATACATTTTATGCAATAAAAGAAATACTTATTTTATGTACTTTAAATCTACTTATACTAAAGTTGAATGCAATCATAGTGCTAAAGAGAAATGCATTTATTCGGGTATATAATGACCTATTGCTTTTCTCATACGTTTAGCTTTTTCAATATCGGCTAAAGGATATTTTTCTCGTACAGCCTCCCAGTCCAGATTAGGGAATACTCGCGCCAAACCAACCACAGCCCTAAATTGACGACTGTAATTTAAATAATTTTAAACATTATTTTCAATTAAAACGTAATTAAACCGTAATAAAATACCCAAGTTATATGACAAAGTATGAAATGATACAAACTTCCGTGCTCTACGTTTCTCATTCCAACATTTTTCTCTGTAAAGTCGTATGAACTTGCATACTGCAGCACTCCTGAAACCAAATTGGTACCTCTTCTGCCATCCTCTATTTATACATTTTGGTATTTTGTGTTGTGTCATGCAATACACGTACCGTAAGCCTATAAAATGGAATCCAAATAAAGAGATTGCAATGAAACTCTTGCATTTTATAGCATATTATTCTAAGTAAACAAGATATACCTATTTGACTATATACTATTTTTGATGGTCGTTCTCCACTTTCTCCAGTTTCAAGCATATGATACGCCTGATTTCTTTCACGAACTACCGTCTCCAAGTTATACATACTATTTTTAACTTTATCAATCCTTTCGGGATTGGGAAAATATTCCACTAAATCCTTATACGCTTCTTCCATTGTTAATAGCATATTTCGTTCTTTTAACAATACAAACCTAAATCATTTAAATGTGAATGTAATCATGGCCATCTACTTATAATTGTATTTTATAAGTTACTTGCCATAACTTATGCAGATCCTCATTACTTTTTAATCTTAATTCATCTATTCTCCAAGAACGTCCTACTTTAATCTGGTCCTTTCCCCAATTCTCCTTATCATCAAAAAATTCCATTAAATCGTTTCGTTTGGTTGTAGTATGAATGAAAGCAAATTGGAAAGTAGGTACCCTAGAATTTCATGAAATCATTTTATTCCGTACAATATAAATGTTACCTTTAAAACGTTACAAAAGAAGACGCGATTCATAAATATAACCTACATCGTTCAGCTTTTAAACACTTTTAAATCGCTTTTAAAACACGGAACGTTTTAAAATAAAGCAACTAGTTTAGAATCAATTTGAATAAAATTGAAGAAATTAACGTATCATTTGCTAAACAACTAAACGCACTTCGAAATGTGTAACCTTAAATATATTGAAAAACTTATAATAATCAAGAGATTAACATAAAAATATATGACGAACCTTCGAATGTACAGCGGAGAAGCAATTGAATTAACATTTGGCGCTAGAGTTAAATTTGTTAGTAACTTCATCACATTATTTACACTTTTTGAAATTTGTATGGTTTTCGTAAGGGCTGCCATTGTGCACATGTAAAGTACGGTCGTACTATCGGCATTGATAGGGAATACAGTCTTATAGAGGAAAAATCTCTGTCGTCATTTTTCTAGCTTCTTATACCAATGTATATTACATATTGCGAAATTCTGCAGCTACTTTCAGAAAAATCATTCAATATTTTTGAGTTTTGTAACTATCTTTACGGATTACGACTTCGGCATTGAAACTTTGCCCGTGTAGGGGGATTTCCTAATTATCGACCGATGGTCTAACGAAGTATCTGAATAAAAAGGCAAACGAGACGAAATAAAAAATAGCGGGGGGTATGAATTGCTACTAGAAATTTAATTTCAAAAGATAAAAATACGCTTCTACTGTAATAATTGTAATATTTATTATCACAAACTATGAGTTAAATCGTACACAATTATGTAAGAAAAATTAACCGTGATGTTTATAATTGTTTCCTTCTCCCTAGATAATTTCATGGTACGGAGATGATGTTTTCGAATATTGTTAGAAAAATCATTCGATTCTATATCGTTACAAATATAAAAATTAGCTGCCACACAAATACATATTAGTCTAAAAATCGTCTAATTTGTAGTCGTCGCTGTTTACAATAAACACAAAATCATCTTTCTTATCGCTTAGAATTTAGAACTTTTATACATTTGAAATTCCAGATATTTAGTAGAAAATATTTATCCAATATATTTCTATCGCCAATAAATGGATCAAAAAGTCGATCAAAGGCACCTTTTCAAGACATTAATTACACTTACAATTACATAAAAATTATATTGCTTTAAGGCACTACTATATACACTGGTGACCTAATAATATCGATACATATGAGTTTTTCATTGTTGCCTTCTCATGCATGTTACAGTTTAAGGTGCTCATGTTTTGAAAAAATTTTCATAAAATATATACTATATATACTATATATATATACACACACACACATATATACATGTAGAATATAATATATGTATGTATCTATATATAGAATGAAACTACAGTTCATAGACACACGAATATATTGCAACTGATATTCCACATTCAATGGAATTCCACATTTTGGAATGTACTGATAATGAAAATCTGACAGATTTATTACATGAGAATGTATTTCTTAACGATTTCCGTCAATTCAACCGAAAGTTTTCCATTGTTCTGGCTTTGCGTACTAATCGAACTGTAGTTTCAACAGGCTAGATCGGAACTTGGTCGTTCGATGATTTCTCATCAACTTAGTTTGTTGATTTCGTTAACACATTGCTCTCTCATGTCGCGGAGTTTATATATATTATATATATAAACAATTACTGCGGTTTATATAACGATAAAAAAAAGAATTCTTAAACAATAACAAGGTATACCACATGATACTAAAATCACATAAACGCTCGATATTTGGGCTGAGAATCTCCTAGCCCATTTCCTCGACGACACAGACACGGTTTACTTCGACAGGGGTCAACGAAATAATACCGGTGTTCTTTCGTCTATTTTTTCTTTCCTTTTTTCTTTTCTTATGCATTTCATCATTCGCTCTGAAAACGTTTCGTCGTTACTCTCAAACGTCACGATGCAACGACTTAAGGAAAATCTTACGAGAAAGTATGTGTTGCGGAGATCAGTTTGGTATTTCACGGGCAACGTTTATCCGAAAGAAAATGTAGGATCACTTCTACGCATTTTTATAGGACGAACCGTCGTAAACTGTACAACCTGATTAATTTTTTTCTTGAAATAATACGCTTTATACACTCACTTAAGTGCAGTTTTCCTACCATTGTTTTTCCGAATGTTCTGACATATTTACGAATAAAGCTGTATGTTGTATTCGACTGTATCACCATTGATAATTTTTCCATTCTCTTCTTTGTTTTCATAACAATTTATTCCAGGATGCATTGCCTCGGACAGCTAACACTTATTTCATCAGGTTAACGTGTTAGAGTCACAGTTACCCTTTGTCGATAATTTATATCTTGTCCGAATAACGTAACCAATCAGTGAGTTTTTATGCAACGGGGATATCAGGGATATTTGTCGATACGTTATCAACAGCAGTCACCACCTTAAGGACGGTATTCTGAATATTCATTGTAAGCTAAATTTGTATTAAATGCTTCCTTTATTGCGATCAACCGAGATAAAGAATATTACGTCGAAAGAACACGGTAGAACCGACAAGGCTGGCTTTCTACCTAGGCGGAACAAGCGATACCCTTAAGAGACTCATAAAAAATAATCAGGATGGACAAGTTTAGCGCATTGTTACTTTACAAAACTGCAAAATTTTGTCTCTGAATGGTCTTTTGTTGTCGAGCTCGCTCAAACGATGAAACTTGTTTCAAAAAGTTTGCTTTTCTTTTCATTTTCGTAACTCCGCCGCTAGCAGATTAATTGCCATTAATTCGGGAACAATGTGACAAGTTAAAAAATACTTGTTCTTCTAACGTCAATAAAGTGGATCGTACACGTTCTGATATGGCAATCAACAGGTGCGACGGCTGCGTCATTCTAGACAAACGGTCTTGAACGTAAAAACTCGGTACAGTTTTACATTTAGTAGGAAATTTGGTCCGACAGTTCTGTACTAACTGCTGACTGTGCTTCACGTACATCGTTCGATCACATGTGAATCGTTGCAGCCGTATAACGTGCTTCTCCTCTTCGCCAACTCCACTGGCTTGGTCGATACTAGATAACGAATCAATTCGAGAGTCAATAAAACATTGTATTTATTATTTCTCTCGATGCAAAAGTTATTCAGGTGAATCCTTACCCTAATTAATATTTGCCCGGACGCGCTATGAGGGTTACGGTAAGCGTATGCAGCCCAGCCCACCATGCCTACGACTAAACCGACCACCATTAGAATTCCGATTATTCCAGACACTCCCATGTTCATGTTGTTATTCCGGGCTAAAAATAAAAAAACAAAACAATTAATCACTGATCAGGAATTGTTCTTGGGTACGATGAACGTTCGTGAACATATAATTTTCAAACGAATCAGAGCAAGACTAGTTGCGCGTTGGTACAAGGCAATGACAATGAAATGAATTCGGCGTTACGTCGTTTAGAAAGTGAATTTGTCTTACAACGCTCTAAGGGACTCGACTCGTGTCTCCCTTGCTCCACGTTCATCTCACTGACAGTGACGGTCTCCTCCGGGTGCATGCGCAAAACGTGATTGAATTCTTCCACGGGTTCCTCCTTGTACGTGATCGGCAATGGACAATTATCGACCTCCTTGATCTTCCTGACGTCGCAACCTTTCAACAACCAATCCTGTCGTGACCTGAACATTCCCGTGCTGCATTGGTTCAGCGCGGAACACCATTTGCAGTTGAAGTCTTTCAGTTTCGTCAAGCAGTCTTTACAGTTGTCCATCTCCAAGCAGGTGGGCAAAGCGTTCAGGTAGATCACCGTCCAACTCTTTATGTCCTGCCGGTTGAAGTTCACGCGATGGTACTCGTAGATTGTCTTTCTGCGAACAACTGAAGAAAACGGGATGAATCGAAGGACTCGATCGTTCGAAGTACACTTTTCGCAGTGGTACACTTGAAAATATTTTTACAGAGTTTCAACAGCGGGAGACAGACGCTCAGCTGAATCTGTGCAAAGTACCAGTGTTCCTCAGATTCCGTCCTGGATCATTTTTGAATACTTTGGCAACGCGAAGACCAGACCAGGTCTGTTGTACTTACAGAACACTATTCTATCCATAATGTAAGCGTCACTGAGTCCAACTTTAACAGGATGCGAGGTGTCTTCGATCATTCCGATCATCAAAGGAATCACCGAGTAAACGAAAACGATGTCGCCGTTTTGATGGAGGGTCACTTGGAATGTGAATGCCCCGGCCTCTGGTTTGTCCTGTAGGATCACCTTTTCCCACTCGACCGTGAACGCCGTTCCTACAATTGAACGTTATAGTGGATTAGACATTTATTTGTCAAGTGTAGAAATCTACGGGTTGGTGTCCACAATCGGCGTGACTCACCGTTGTCAGCGTATTTAACGTAACTATCATTCGACAGACGCGTATCGAAATTCGCCATCAGGGGTGCAATGTACTGTGTCGCGGCCAGCCAGCTGTGAACGTATTCGCCGGTGTACAGGAAGCCACCGGTGGCGATGGTGATGTTGCGCACTTTGTGACCGTAGAACGGGAAGTCGAATTTCAGCTTGACCGTCTGCGAAGAAGAATCACACGTTTAACCCTTTGCGGTCCGAAGTGCTCTTTGTTTCTCGCTTTGAGGTTCACGTCGACGTTAGTTCATTCAATTACAGCTTAATATGACGCTCTATTTATTTATTCAAGAATACTTGGGAGTCATTGAAATGCTACCTTTAAATGGTACAATTGTGATACTACAAATAAATATAGAAAAAATTGTTAAAACAGGCAGAGGTTGCAAATAGAATGTCGAGTCTGACTCGACATAGGACTGCTAAGGGTTAATGCAGCATACGTTATCCCCTTGTCTCGGGACTTCGCTCCTGACCAAGACTGTTGCAAGCCCTAACGCATCTTAAACAGATTTTCTGAATGGAGAAGGCAACTGTATATTCATCGAAGAAATTTGAATGTAATTTCTGTTGAAAAATCAGCTCAATGTCAATATACAGATTGGCTTACAGGAGAAGTTCAATTCTACTTTTCGAGGTTCTTTGGAAGACAGAAGAATTTACCGTGGCCCGACGATGGCTCTGGCTCAGCAAGACGTTAACTTTCAGATCCGGATGATTGTCCATGTCCACCCAGTACTTCTTCCCCACCTCCTTGTCGAAGAAGAACGTGCTGTTGTAATATTGATGCGTGTCGTTCACCATTTTCGTGATGTTATGCTGGCTCAGAGTCTTGTTGGTGAAGTCGGAGAACTTCCCGATCGAGATGTCACCGATATTACCGTCGGAATCCTCCTTCTCGTCCGTGGTGTCGGACATGGTCTCAGCCGTCGACGGCACGCTTTTATTCGGCACGTTGCTGAGCCGCGAATTCACCGGAGTAACCGGCTTGAGACTCGGTGTAACCTACGTAAAAAACCAAAATTAATGGAAGGTAAAAGAATAGAATGTCGAGTCTCGACATGGGACTGCTAAGGGTTAACGAATGTATCGAGCAATATCTCTAAAAGCTTACTGCCTCCACGCCCTTGTTATTCGGCTTAGTGGGGTAGCTGAACGGCCGGACGAAGACGATGGTAGACGCGTCCTGTTTAGCCTTGGAAGTCGTCGGGGCAGACGAGACCGTCGACGACTCGCCGGTGTCCGTCGAATACGAGACGTTCGCTGGCGCGTTCGACGTACTCGCAGTTACTTGCGACTGTTGTTGCTGTTGCTGCTGCTGTAGTTGCTGCTGTTGTTGCTGCTGCGGCTGCTGCTGTTGAAGTTGTTTCTGCTGCTGTTGCTGTGACTCGGATTGGGTCGCAGGCTGCTCCGACTGCTGGTACGGCAGCTCGGACGGCGGCAATGGTTGTTGCAACATCTGCTCCAGGGATGATTGTTGCGCCATCACGGGTGACTTGTCGTCCGCTGCCCGACGCACCCTGTCCAGCACTGGCTCCTGATTGTTCGACACATAGGAGAACTCGATCGGTCCATACTCGGCGGACGAATGACCTTTCGAGTCGTCCAGCTCGTAGTAATGGTACCCATCTGCGAACATTAGAATATTATTAGAGTAAGACGGGGTTTTTAAACATTACTGTGCAGAAGACAGACTTCTCGAACGACATGATATTCAAACGAATTCCTAATTTTATTCCTACTTTTCTTTGCTACAAAAGGCAAACTCTATGGGAAAACGCTTAAGATTTTCGTGGCGTTGTCATTGCTAAAAGATAAAAAAGTATCGACGACAAGATGGAACACGATCGGCAGAAATAATTTGTTTGGTCGGCCGGGTTATTTCGATCGCAGACGCAAGACGGCAAGACGGCAAGTGGCGGAGCGCCGCGAATTTCCCTCGCGACGATAATTCAACGCGGGCGCTCGTCGAGCGACGATCCAAGTCAATTTATGGAGCGCGTACTGGACCGTCTGCCGTTGATGAAAGGGGTCGCGCGTTCGTATCGCTGCGCGGGCCTGCGTCAACCGTCCAGTTAGTGGCCCAGATCAGATCAATTTTAGCCATCGATGCCCATGTTTCCCCATTAACCGGTGACGAGCGTACGCTACCGAAACAACGCACTCGCGACACGCGACTCGACTCGGTAACGATTTCACTGAGCTTTAGATCGAGTGATCCTCGCTCAGTCTTCAGATTCAAATTTGCTTTCCTAATACGTATCGAACACGCTCGTACCAAAGCAAAGCGAGGCAATGCCTCCATTCCAACGATCAAGCTCGTTCAATCGTTTCAATCCTCTTCCGACAGTCTCTATTCGAGCCTGTCCAACCCCTAGGAATTTGCTACCTAACCGATTCTTCAGCAACGCTCAGACTTGCCTAACGAACTCGCAAGAATCGTTTAGCATCCCCTAGAAACCGGTTGCCGAGAGATCAAAGTATTCGAATGTAAATAGGATACTCGAAAGTTCCCGACTCGGACCAAACTATGTACATAAAACCTCCGACTTAAAGCTCAAGCGAGTCATTGACGAAGGGAAAAACTTGAATATGCGCACATTCCTCCCGACAAAGTATCCTAATTACACCTACATACTACTCGTAGTTAGAAGTACTCCGAGCCGTTCCGCGCGAAACCTAGCTACGGCGATAAACTAGTTCCACGAAAGTGGTAGCAAAACGGAGGACAACACGTGTGCAATAGAGTAGGACGCGAAGGCGATCTCCTGCACGAGTCTGGCCGCCGCTGCCGCCGCCGCCGCCGCCGCCGCCAGCGGGACCGGATAAAGCAATAATTGGCGATCCGACAGATACTCGAGAATGCACGAAGCTTGACGTCAGTGTAAATTTTCATGGACCGAAAGGCCGAGAGAGCCGGCTCGATTAAACGTCCAGCTATCCCGCCGATCGTTGCCCCTCCCCGCCGACAATTCAGTCGACCCTCGTTCAACGTTCATCCAGCCCGTAACCATCCTTTTCCGCCCGAAACAATATTTTCTCCGCGGGGCCGCGGCGGCCGCCATCGTTCGCCTCGCGAAACGGACGAACGAGAGCCAGCGCGTCCTCCGAGACGACGTTCATTAGAATCAGGACCTTCGGCCGCCTTCCAGCGCGTGGGACTGAGCAAACTGGACCGATCGCGGCTGGAAGTTCGACATTTTCGAGGCATTTTGTTTGTTTTCTTAGTCTATCGTTTAATTGCTAATCCTACGTTCGTGTAACATTTTAGATATGTATAAGAAATCCAAAGTAAAATTAAAACCGAATTCCTTATTCTCTTCCGTAAGTTAGAAATTTTGTCCCGTTTCTAGTAGGCAATTGAATTAATTGCTTTCGGAAACTAAAGGATCGTCGCTGTTTACAGCAGAAACTATCGTTTGTCGTTTAAAAGGTCTTCCGCGCTTTACGAGAGCTTTTCGCAGGGCCGAGACGCGAAATCGACAGCCGGGACGAATCGGTGGAACCGGAAGACGAGATTTCCCGGCGTTTCGCAAACCGGCGTGAAACTCGCCGTGACGCGGGAAGTTTAGCAATCGTTTTGCTACCATTAACGGTCAAATTTGTCGCGACGCGATAACGAATCGCTGTGTCGCAACGACCCCGTTTTTCCTTCATCGTTCTCGATGACTCTGCTGTTCGCGGATCGCTCCGAACCTCCCACCGCATACGCCGTGTACACTGATAAATCGTCGAGTGAGCTGTTTTTTCTGCAAAAAGAAGAGAAGGAAGAAGGAAAGAAAAATCTTCCTGCGAGTGGAATCTATTGCGATAGGTCGTTCAACGCCGGAGCTACTGAATATGAATCGGCAGAAACGCGTCTGCTCGTGACGTATCGTTTCCACTTCTTATCGATGCGCGCATAGTAAATTAATTGTCGAAGTCGACTATCTACGAAACGTGCAACATAATTTCCTTCTGCAGGGTTTTGCAATTCATTTTTGCATAGCGAGGGAACCGTTGACCTCGCGGATTTCAACGGAAACGCGATTAACCGGTCGACTGCTGCGAGAATTTCGTTAATCGCTTAGTCTCCCGTTGCGAAGACGGATAGAAACAATGATTAATTATTAATTGTTAACCTCTTGTCCTACAACAACGAGCGAGACTCGCGGTGAAGGTTTTCAACGTGATTCGACAAATATACATATTACTCAGATCATTCGAATTCAAAGTAAACATTATTCCTCCGTAATCAATTATTATACTTAAGGAAATATAGGCATAACGTATGCTTAGAATTTTTCTCTTTTTCTAAGAAATTATTAATTACGAAGTAGCCGTATCGATCGGAGTTCAGAAAGAGATCACAGGCCAAGGGGTTAATTATTTGCTATTAGAATTCTTGTGTTATACGCTGTTGCGTAATTTGTATCGTTGAACATTTATTCGACACGATAATCTCGGCACTATCATTGTCGGTAGACAGCGATACACCTTAGAGTTCACGATGATCCTATTATTCTTGGAACGAACATTTGAATTATTCGTTTATCGATCGAAGCTCTGTTACGAATAATTCGTACACATGGTAATGGAATAGTGGAACATTTCGATAAAGGCGGATCGACAGAATGCATCGAAAACATGCACTGGAAACCCTCGGCAGACGTAGTTCCGTCTGCAAAAAAGTAATACGTGCAACAGTCACGTGCAGCGCTATGGGAACAATAAATTAATAAAGATACGTACTCCTGACAGATCGGAAGATCGACCGGTTCGATAAGGAAAGGTTTCACCCGACATGTCGCGGTCGGCTGGTTACATACGGCTCGAAAAAAGTAATGCCGACGCGCAATTACAGTTTATTATCCTATTCGTGTAATTAGACGCGGAGGAGAGCGCTGCTCGCCGTCAGTAGACACGCGATTCGACGCTCCGATATCGGTCCCAGCGATCTTTGTTCGGACAAATGAAACTGAACGTCGGGAAACGCGATGGTTCTTTCATTAGGCGATTCTTTTGTTTGGAATATTTCTGATCGAACGCGACACCTGTGACACCTTTAACCCTTTGCGCTCCAGAAGCTTTTCATTAGAAACACTCAACATTTTCTAATGAAATACCAACGACATTATTTCAAACTGACTTAACTTATTTTAATATTCCACGTGTCGATGCATTGTACAAAGTTTAGTATTAAATATCAAACTCTATAATTTTGCTGTGTCAAATTAATCGGCGACTGCGAGCGCAAAGAGTTAATTTCATGGATATTCGCATATTCAGCTAATTTGAAACTAATTTCGAAACATTCTGTGCTTAATCTCTATTTTCTAATCAATACTCTTCGTTTCCTAAATCGAGTCTGTACCTCATCCTTCGCATTGAACTTCATTTTCCTGAATTACAGTATCGTTTATAAGTTCTTAACATTCATGCATGTGTCTCGATTACAGATCTCTTTGGTGCAGCCAGTTCTGAGTATCGTCGAGCCACAACCGATGCATTCCTGTTTCATTCTGCAATATAGAACGGCGATTCGTCGATCATCGGTCATTCGATGAACGGATACATGTATTATCTCGCGGCGAGTGAGTTCCGAGTAGACTCCGCGACGAAAAGGAATATTCTCGAGACGCAGACACCGACATTATCTCCGCTTAAAAATACCTTCGAGCGATTGTTCCGCGGCTTGCGATCGCAAACAGAAGGTGCACTTTTTATTGTATGCAGATAACGCATTCCAGACGCCGAGCGATCCACGTCGAAAAGTCCTTGGCAGTGGATAGACGTTTCGCTCGGGGAATCCAGCAGCGATAGGTTCAAAGCGCATCGCGATGTTGCTCGAACGTTGTTCGTCGCGCTTCCTTTTCAATTTCGAGTGCGACGAATCCGTCGGAACACTTGCGATGCAACGGAACAAGACAAGTCACGTTTTTTCTCACGTGTACCGAACGTGATACAAATTTCAGAATGACCAATCTGGCGAGCAAAACGCTTTCATGATAAGTGGATCGATTTGAAATACTTTAACAAATCGATATACTTGTTCTTCGATCTCGCGTGTTCATTCGAGAAGCGATTCTTGTATTTCATCGAATCGTGTTCGTACGAGCCAGACGATATGGAAATGCATCGTCTATCGTCTCGTTTTTAAGTTGCATTGTGTTCGAGGAAAGTAAGTCCGAACGAGCGACGCCCATTACTCGAGAAAAGGAGAAACCAAGCAGACGGTGCAGTTCGACGTGCAACGGGTATGCTAATGCTGGCAACGCGATAATACGCGTGGCGCATAGGGATATATAGCTCCTCCGTGAATGAATAGACTCCGAGAGCTCGATGAATGATTAACACTGTCAGTGCCGCGTCTCTCGGAAATATTTAGCAACGCGAGTAACCGGATAATACAGCAATCGTTAGGAATTATTTGTAATACCTATCTCTGGTAGAACGGAATAAACAACATCATTTCAATCTGATATTTCAATTGAATCGATCTAGAAAACTTGAAAAATTTGGAAAATCCTAGTAACGGACACGTTAGTATTAACCCTTTGCCACTTGATTTCCTACAGTGAAGCTATAAAGTTTGATATTTAATATTATATTTCATAGAACCCATCAATCTGAGAAATATTGAGGTAAAA